AACCCTGTAGTAAGAACAGTAACTGTTAAATCAATCCCAGGATGCGCAGCAGTATTATTCCTAAGATAGTCCTCAAAGCTGGCTTGGTTTTCTCTTGCCAATTGTCAGATCTGTGACCTGTTAGAAAGGCAGAACACAAGTTCCATCAGAAATTTAAGAGAAAAAAACCAGTCCAGACAAATAATAAATTTGAGAAATACAGGCCAACTCACCATGCCCTCCATCTTCGAGGTGAACTGTCCACCGCATTGCTGCTTTAGCTTAGTCAGAATACTCCTTTCATGATCGTCATTTGCACTACGATCAAAAAGTAATCGGCGAGCAAGCTTCTTCCTGTCATTGATAGCACATAGTAGAGGTAGGATCAAAATAAACAATAAGAAATTACACCATAACAGGCTTCCCCCCCCCCCTTCCTGACAAGTGATATGAAACTAATTGACAAAAAAATAATAATAGCCTCACCTGTAGAATTCAGCGAAGAGGTCTTTATCACTAATATAGGCAAGCAGCTTAACTACCTACAGAAACCAAACAGATATTTCAGGATCAATTCCAAATCAGGCATAAATTTAACTTAAGATTGATAAGCTACCTTTTCAAGTGTTTCTTCAATGGCTTCATCACTTAATTTCTCACTTCCACCCTTTTTGAGGATATTATCACAGAAAGTAGCCAAAAGCTCTGCGCTTGAGCTGCCAGTAACAGTTTTGTTGCAGAATACTTCGAAAGCCTCTTTCAAGGCCTATGAACATTTCAACAAAACATGGGTCAGGACTTGGGGGAAACAATGGGATATGATGATCCATAATAGACATTTAGGACTACAATTTAGAACACTAACCTTGTGGAAGAGAGTATGGTTTTGAAAACAGTCGGTCACATATGCCATATACTTATCATGAAGCTCGATTATTTTCCTGATAAGGACCTGGTAATAGCATGCAAATTCTCAACATCTATACTGATTTGAAGAGAATCAGTAGGCAATAAAAGTTGGGATATTTACCTGTTCCTGTGCACCTGAAGAACTTGAGGCCTGTGGAAATGAGTGACTATTAGTACTTAAAACCAGAAACAGGCGAGTATTAGAAACAATAAATTATCATCTATTTTTCTCTCGATGGTGGGGAAATATTAGTCTGTAGTCATAGGGATTTTGCCCCCCCTCCCCCCCAAAGAGAGATAACAAGGGAAGGTTTACAGTTGGTAAATCAAAAGGGTACAGAAGAAATTTAGTACACAAAAAATCCTAACTAACAAATAATTTTATCCAGAAAAAACCTTCATGAATTAACTTCAGTACTGAAGAAAATCAATAAATGTATTCAGCAATCATATTAGCAATCAGAGGACAACAACAAAACTAACCTGGCTACTTGCTGCATCTTCAACCTGCTGGACCAAGGCATTGCCTTCAGCAGTAATATGCTGGAAAAAAAGGCACTCAGAAATGTTCAGTAAAATCAAGGAATAACATAAGAATGATGGCCATTTATCTTGTAGAATAGAATAAAAAGATATTCTGACCTGCTTGAATATATTGGCAACAGGATCCAAGCCTTTGGGTATTTTACAATAAAGCCTATACATTCTAGAAAGATCCTCCACCTAGAAAGTGTAAACAAAGTCAAATAAATAACTGATATCTATTTGCAAAATCAAACAGCCAGAAGCTAAGCCTTGCTAACAAAAAAATGATGCTGCACAATACCTTGTCATCTCTAAGCAAGGCCCTGCATCCTGAATGCTCCTTTTCAAGCAGCCGACTTGCATACACGACCAACAACTCATGTTGCACTTTCTAGAAACAGGATAAACAGCTATTAATAGAGTGCTCTAGAAATTATAGAATTGTCTTCATGGGAACTCTGTTTTATTCTTATTACAGTATTCCATGTTGAATGTCAAAAATGTGGAATATCCATTTAATATACATGCCATCTAAAGAGAATTCCCATGACTTTTATTGTAAAATCTTAGTGACAACTTTCATACATCAAAAAGTATACATTAATGTCCCCTCTTGTGGCGAACAATTAAACAGATTTTCTCTAAAAAAGAAAGTGCAACCCCTCAAGTCAACGTAAGCTCAGAGAAAAAGCTCACCATTAACATATAAATTTACAACAATTCAACAAACCTCTGACAGCTTTGTCTCACTGCTTGAATGCAGGTAGTGAGACACTCTGTCCCTTTCCTTCTTCAGGCATTCTTCAGACTGCAATTAGCATTAAAATAAACGCTATCAGAACCATCTGGGTTAATCAGGGAAAAATTCTTATAGCGTATGGAAAAAAAAGATGCACGAAAATTGTAGCACTTACCTTCAACATGTAATCTGGACAAGAATCTTCCTCAATCCAGCTTGATGCTTTCCGTGAATAGTAAGCACCAGTATCCTGAAGCATGGCTCCTTCAAAATCATCCTCATAATGATCCATTTGTCCCATGCCGATCTCAACAAAAATATCTAAGACATTCTTCAGTAATGCTCGGTCTATCTGCTCTCCCTCACGCTCTTTATCAATCTGATACGAAGTAACCATTCCACTTAAGTTTTATATTCAAAATGTGAATTAAATGTGTAAACTTACAAGGACAATTAAATACAATTAACCATGACACAATGATGTAAACTTACAAGGACAATTACAGCATCTCTTACTTTTTTATGCACTTCCTGATATACCTGAAATGAGTAAAACATATAATACATAGTTAAAAGTAAACTGGAAATAATAGGCAGCTAACTCTAAAATCCAACTCATCATAGCAGAATCAGTATCATATATAAGTGTAACTTGAAGAACTAATAACAAACCAGATCACGGAAGCAGGTCAGTCCAACTTCATTAAGTGCGGGGAGTGATCTCCGGGCAATGAAGTAGCGATCAAGGTAATGGAAGAAGCGTGATAGCCACCTGACCATTACTTTATGGTTGGCCCATCTCTTAACAAGCTCTCTGAGCATGAACTCATCATGCTTCTCCCTTAAAGATGGCAATACCTGATCTTAGAAAAGAAGGGAAATTTGAGGGGAACAGGGTATAATTGGCTCAGAAAAGTAGATAAAAAGCCTTCATATTCTATTGGAGAAAACTATTAAAACTAGAATTTACCAAAGTATTCAAGAACAAAATCATAAAACTTAAAAACAATTACTAAATCAACTTGTAAACTACTATATTAAATAACAATATAGTCTATGAAATATCAAACAAATGCTAACAAAATTATCTGAGCGTGGAAGTTCAAATGGAGCAATTGACACGCAGAGTTCCATTCAGCCAGGTATAGGCAGAATAAAAGATGTTAGCAAAGTCCATTTCTTTTTCAATAAGCATTTCCGTAAGATTTCACAAAGATAATACCAGTTCCAATAGTTTCACGTAAAATGGTAATCTATATACGGAGCAAGACAGACAAGTAGTCAGCACCAAAAATGTTAGCTAACATAAAAACAAATTCCTTACCGTTGAAGTAATATATTCTTCAAATGACTCACGGTACTTGTCATAAAGCTGTTGAGAATAATCATGAGGTGGCTTTTGAGTGCACATGTTGTAGATGGTCCTATAGTAGTTTCAATCAAGGAAAAACGATGAGAATCGAGATACCAGATAACTAAGCTAGAAAAACAAAATCAGAAAAACTTGAAAATAAGAATTGAGGAATACGTATAAAGCATCATATATTCTTCTGAGCTAAATGGAGGCTCCGGCAAGCCTTCTAAAATCCTCTTCAGCTTTGTGATCCCCTTATGCATATAATCCCATCCCTGATCCAATTCGATAATCTTGCGCTCCATTTTCCTAAAAGTGGAGCAAAAATTTCTTCAAATTAAAACCTGAAAAGCCCTAGCATTGACAAAAAATCACGGAAACCAAACAATCAAACCATATCAACAAATTTGGAAGATAAACAACTCAACCTTCCAATTTCCATATAGATAAACCAAATAATAATATATCAAGGGATAAAGGTCAAACATTGACGAAAAAACCCTATCAACAGAGCAAAAGAAGCCCAAGGACCAGCAAAAAAATATAATTTCTACACAATGTCACCTCAAACGAAGCTGTACCCACAAATAAAATATATCCCAATAATCGATCAAGCAAAAAAAAATTTATAAAAGAAGAAAACTAAAACTGATCGGAAAGTATTGAAAATATTGAAAAATTAATCGATCGGGCAAAAAATATATTGAGAATAATCGGAAAAAGCGTACCAGAAATACGATCGATGAGTAGTTCAATGAAAGAAACCCTAACCCTATCGCTAAAGAAGAATCGAGTCGCAAAGGGCAATTGGAGGATAGGAAAGTGATTATGGAAGAGACGAATGGTTGAAAAAAGGCAGTAGAAAAAGAACAGAGGGCCTTTCTTTTGCGAGAATTCGTTTTCGACCCCAATTGAAAAGTTTAGCCCTTTTGACCTCCCCAGATTTCGCCTTCGCTACTTTGGTGGTTAAAAGCTTTGGGCTTTGATTTGAGGAAACTATGGGCTTTTAATTGGGCTGGAGAAGAGATATAGTAGAGAGCAAATAATCACTTAAAAAATTATATCATACGTATTTTGATTTAATTCGATATAATAATGTTAATTTTTTTTTTATGAAAATCATATTTTAGATTGGGTCATTTTTTTTTAAAATTTAGACGGGTCAAATTTGAATTTAAGGAGAACTCATCCTATCTCAATAAATTTATGAAAATATATATTTTTATGTATGTATATATTATTAATTAAATTCTGATAAAAATATATGTAAAAAATTAATATATAAGTTATTAGAATTATAATATTAAATTAAATGTTACTTTAGATTTTAGTTGTATGCTATTAAATTAAACAGATTAATATTTTTATTTAATTATTTTTTCTATTTTTAAAAAAAATTATGTGAAAATTCTTACGAGTTGATTTGAAACTATCCGCTGTTTCATATTCAAATGTGTGTAAAAGATGGAGCACGTGGAGAACACTTTTCCTTTGAATATAAGCTTTGTCACCATACTAGAGTAATGAGATCTTCAAGGCAAAAGCTGTAGGTTCTCAGACATCCCAGATGGGCTTTTCAATGACTGAATCCCCCATGTGGGAGCTGTTGTTGGAAAGGGTTTATCATTGGCAATCTATGTTGCTGAAGGTGTTCTTCATGCATATTGGTTGGCCTTGACCCTCCGATCCCCATGAAATCGAGTGTCGTCATGTTACTTCCTCCACCGCTCACTCCGAACACAGACGGAACCGTCGAGTTCCTTTCCATTGCCTGGGATCTTCCTTGTACTAGCCCGGAGCTATCACTGTTATCTCCATGTTCCATGTTGTTCATCAAGCCTTGGTTTCGTTCAGCTCCATTCATGAACATGTTGGTGGTGAACATTCCCATATCAGTCATTGCTCCTGTGGTGACATTGAAAAGCTGTGCCATTTCGTTAGGGGCTTGACCGATCCCAACCATGCTTGACTGATGATCGGTGTGTGATGGGAAATGATCGTATGATGATGTATTCTGTTGCTGAATCCCATCCACCATGCTACTAGCAAAGCTTTTTTGCATCATGGGCGAGTTTATACTATTACTTGCGGTTGCACCCATTTGAGCTGCTTTCTGTAGCAAAGCTGTTGCAGACATGTAGGGTGACCCGGAAACTTGGCAACCACTTATGCTGTCCTGTAAATAATTGAAGCTAGATGAGCTATTCGAACTAAGTTGTAAGCTCGAGGGCGACGAGGGAATGCTTCTCGGACCGCAGAATAAACTGCCCGAGCTGCTCGAAAACATGCCTCCTCCTATGTTCATGGACTTAAACGGCATCGGTACGAGCTCTTGAGGAAGAGATTTGAGCGTGTTCTTCGAGTCGAAGTTGTTGAAATCAGATATTCCCATAGATGCATTCACATTGCTCATTGGCATCGATGGCATCAGCTCCGTCAGTTGGTTCGATGATCCGATATTGTTCATCAGTGCTCCATGGTTTAACTTGTTGTTCTCTTCAGCTAATGCATCACAGAAAGCTCTGTGTGTGATAAAGCTGTCTCTCCTGCATAAAGAACAAGCAGTGGATAAAGATCTTGATAAGAAAACAGAACATTTGTTAGCAGAGCTTACAAACGAATCATATAATTAATGCAATGTCTTGAAGTTAAGCACGTAAATTAAACCTCGAGAAGATGGTTCCACAGTCACATTTGTATTCCTTAGTACCACAGGTCTTTTGATGAGCTTTCCAATCGGATTGAACCGCGTATTTCTTCGAGCACTTGTCGCATTTCCACTTCTTCTCGCCATGCTTACGGCTAAAATGCTTCTTGATCCCAGTAAGGTCACCTAGTGCGCGAGCCGGGTTGTGGTGGACGCAACTCGGCTCGGGGCATATGTAGACTCGTTTCTTGACCTCGGTCGTCGTCCTTTGCTTTAACTTCCAAGGAAGATTGTGACCTCGTCGGTGCAGTTGCAGGTTCTGGTCCCTCTGGAACCCTTTGTTGCATATCTCACATACAAATCGATTCGTGGCCATGAGCGTTGTCGGTGATAGAGCAATAACTTCAGCAGCTGGATCTGATTCAGAACCAGAATTAATAAGAAATTTTCGTAACTGTATATAGTAAAATAGCCAATGGCCCCATATAACAACAGTCCGAAACAAACAGGAAGTGAAAAGTGCAATCAAACAAACAGTTTCTTCCTAGCAAATTATTGTAAATCCCATAGCAATAATTGAACCCTTTTCTTTCCCAAAAGCATAGAACACCCAAACCCATGTTTTTTTTTATTATAAGATCATATGAAAGAAAATAACATGAAATCAGCATAGAAAAATGGGATCTTTGCCTGGAGTTCCTGGTAAATTTCTTTTCTTCTTAACTGCTTGAAGTGGCTGTTGGGAGGATGAGCCATTGCTGTTTGAAGCAGCTGAAGCTGATGCTGGAAAGTTATTGGTTTGCAGCTGTGGTTTCCGCAGGACTTCCTCTCCTGTGTTCCCTGAAGAGAAGCTTCCATCATCACCTGTAATATTTGACATATTTGGAACCGATAGGGTTGACGATTATATACACACACAAACAAGATTGCCTGTTTCCTTTGATTTTCCTTTGGCTCCAAAATCTATTGGTGGTGGTGGTGGTGGAAACTAATCAAAAAGTGGGGCTTGTATTTTGGTGAACATAAAAATCAGGGTTACTGTAGAGGAAGACAAAACAAAAGCAGGGAATTGATATATCCTTGGTTTCTTTTGAAAGAAGAGAGAGCTCTAGTTGACATAGGAAGTAACATTGCCAACAAGGTCTTATTTGGCTTTATATAATTATATATGAACATGGTTCAAATTTGAATATGACAACTCCATCCTATTTGCCCTAATTTTTCTTTCTTTTTAATTTCATTGCCATTTCCTTATTTGATTTCAATATAAAATTCTTCAATATCTGATGATAATAATAAGATACGTTAAATTTTATTTTAATTAAAAATACACTCTCCCAAGACTATTATTTTCATCATCAAAGACTCAAATAAAGACCCTAAACCTAATATATATAAGCCAATTGGAAAAAAATGGAAAATCCCATTAACATATTAATCTTACTTGTCTTACTTGATGTTTATTGTTCAGTGTTTTGAGTTTCAAGTTCTTATGGCCTACTATTAGATGATGTTTAACATATGGATTAGAAGTTGACAGAGATTTAACTGATTGAAAATAAAGGAGGTTAATTGATCGTTTATGATTCATGATCTTGATATCAGACTGAGGGTCGACATTGATCTATTATTCTAAGTTTGAACTCAAACCTCTAATAATAACGTCTCTTTAATTACTAAGATCGTTTGGTCCGTGCTCCATAAAAGTATTATTATAATAATAATTATTATTAGTATCCCTTGGAATTGTCTCATAATAACATTAAGGAAATGTTTTAACATAAATCACCAGAAGCCTGGCTTTTTAGAAAGAGAAACAACAAAGAGACAGAAAGAAGAATGATGAAGCATCGGCTAAGTTATAAAACTATGGTCAATACCTATTTTCTCAAACATCTGCTACATCTCCATCACCAACAATAATATTTACAAATAAAAAAATAAAAATTGCTTAGTTATCATCGATTGCTGATAGATATATTTTATGAAGGAAACACAACAATGTCAAGGCACAGATGTTTTTTTTTATAACTAAAGGACAGGAGTAAGCACAATTTCAGATGCTGGAATGTAACAAATGCTGCAATAATTTAGAACCAACCGGGTTGCTAATCGACATTAGCCAAGCAACCCCATGCATAAAAACAAAACAAAAGACAAAGACGGCGTTGTGTTCTTTCTTGTTTTTAAAATATTTTTTTCGCATGAAAGTGAGGTTTGATCGAGGTGAATCAACACTAATGAATACTCTTTTGTTTGTTGAAATGGACGCGCTCTTTGCGATAAAGAAAAGCAATGTTATTGATAATTGATGGGCTAAAATGGCAAGAACTTTGGTTTCCTATATTCATATCAATATAATTAAAAGATTTAACACATGCATTTAGTATCTAAATTAAACATTTTCTTTCAAGTTGGTATTTAAAAAAAGTTTATTCTCAAATTGATACTTAAATTAGACACTTTCTCTTACATTGATACCACCATAATTTTTTCCTCCAAGTTGATACCCGAACTTTAATTTCATTCATTGTTTTCATATTTTTTTTATTAACGGTGTTAATTTTTAATGACAATACTATCGATTTGTAGTATGATATTATATTGTCATATCATCAAAAAATTAACATTATTAATAAAAAAATATAAAAGCAATTGATGTAATTAAAGTTTAGGAATTCAAAAGAATAAATATTCTTTAAATATAATTTAAAAGATAATACCCAGTTCATGTATCAAATTTAAGTTTATTTAAAAATATTTTAGTTATATATTTTTATATTCATCAATTCCTAACTTATTGATGGAAGATACTGCGAAAATACAATATAAAAATGAACAACCAAACTCAGTTTATTCTATTTATAATATTAACATTGGTCTCTAAAATGGTAAAACTTTCGAGATAATATTCTGGAAGAAATTAATTCATGAGATAATACACTCCCAAGATTAATTGCTCAAATAGGGTGAAATCCACAGTGTTGGTCGTAGGTCGTCATGCCTTCCGGGCGACCTACTAGGTCGCCATGTCTTCCCGGCGAGCTACGAGAGATTGCATGTGCCATGCACGTCCCAACACGCTGGGCATCCGAGGCCATCCGACCGAGCTATGCGAGAGCATCCGAGGCCATCCGACCGAGGCCAGCCGAACGAGCTATGCGAGGGCATCCGAGCGAGCAAGCAAGGGTAGGTCGCCCGAAGTGCATGGCGACCTATGTGTTGAGACGTGCATGTGCCATGCAACACGTTCATTCTCTCTGTGAGTTTGCTGGGAAGCTGGCCACGTAGTAGGTCGCTCGGAAGACATAACGACCTACGGTCAACACTGTGGATTTCACCCTATTTAAGCAATTAATCTGAAGAGTGCATTATCTCGTGAATTAATTTCTTCCAGAACATTATCTCGAAAGTTTTACCCTCTAAAGGATTATATATATATATATATATATATAACTTATCATCTCATTGAATTAGACCAACTAGTAATAATTAAGAACACCCCTTTGACTCATTAAAGATAAAATATAAAAGAAGCATTGTTTAATTAGACAAACAAAGCAATTTGGGATTAGAATTATAGCATTAAATTAATGATTAACATCATCATCAATCTACCACCGCCCTAATGAACGTGGGGTCTCTCAAGTCTTATCCATGCGAGGAGAAATTATCAGCTAGCTCTATGCTCAAAAATGGAAATGGACCCAATACTCTTGTATCTGCATGCATGGTCCTTCCATGCATTTGACCATGTCTTCAAGACACTTTTTTTTTCTTTTGAAAACTAAGATTTCTTTCCAAGACCAAACACACTTTACTTCACAACAGGACGATTTTGTTAAGTTTGGACAACATGATTTTATATTAGAAAGAGAGAAATTAACTGGAAAAATAACAGTCATCTGTTTGCGGGTCAAATTATCAAGAAGACAGTAAGAACCACCAGTGCTAATTGTTTGTAGGCTGGAAAAGGCCCTTCTTTTCTGATGAGATTATGACCCCAAATCAGATCAACATCGGTTGACGCCGACTTATGTTTAAGATGAACATGTTTGGAACTTCCAGGTTTTCGCCGGACGTTGGTCACGGATCTGCAGTTAGTTGCAGCGAATACATGATTGACTAGGGAAATGCAAAAAACAAAATCAGTGATCACCGGAAAGCACAATGCTTCGGAGGGCATGGAGGGGTGTGTGGTTTCATTCTAGAACAGTTTGTATATCGCGATTCTCCCGCTCATTCCTCGAAGTATCGGATTATGATGTGAGACTGACTGGATGTTTTCTTGGCACTCCAGAAACCATCCTATGTTTCACCCATGTTGGAGTTATTAGCACCATTTCTAAAATTGGCAATAACATGAGGCCTCGAAAGTACTCTTCGAGAGTTATTCTGGGAAGCCTCTGCTGGCTTTCTCTTCCTCTTGGGATTGAAGAACCCACATTCGAGAGCTTCCAATGCTTTTGTGGTTAATGGTCGGTTCCTAGTACTCTGCCTCCGGTTTTGCGGTGTTGGATGCTGATTGACCTCTGCACCTTTATCAGGAATCTTCGAATTCAATGACTCACGCTGCACTGTTACCTCAGACTGAAAGAATGATATATGTGAATACGAATTGTCACTATTTTGAACCATCTCTGAGATGAAGGGTCCATCGGTTTCAAAATCCGTTGAAACTTGAGGAACATTTAAGTCTATCAATGTATGTGCCCGAGTCTTTGTCGGAAATCCTTCTATATGCAGGCAGTTTTCAGAAACAATGCCTTCCTTTCTCTGGTCAGGACTGCCTTTAGACAGAGAACTCGCAGGTGACAAGTTTTGTGATCCCACTTGAATAACCATATCTTCAGAAGAATCGGGTGAATTAGACCTACGGTGTGAATTGTCTTCATTTAACATCCTGTCAACTGAAATATTTTCAACACTGCAGCCAGATTCTCCATTAATACAATCAGTTAAAACCCGCAGTTTAGTAACAGGAACAGAATATCTTGAATCGCTAGGCTTCACCTTTTGGCTGAAATCATTCTTCTCAGCCTTCTCTTCCAGGTCATGAAGCAGACTTCTGCTTTGGTTTTCTTGATTTTTCGCTGATATAATGCTTGTATTAGAGGTGTGGGGAATAACAATATTTGAGTTGCTATTTACACAATCTGATATGTCGACACATTCTCTCCCATTAGCCAGGGCAGCCTCGGGGGCATTTGTAGTACTAGTCTCTTCTGTTTCATCTTCAGAGTCATCCGATGTATCCTCCTCAGAATCGCTGGAAATACTAGAGGGGGTGGATAAGCTAGTAGCGTCAAGAGGTAAGCGTCTTACCTCTCTAACTTTGGATCGTTCAGCCCCCCTGACCAAACTAGTATCTACAATTGTAAACTTCATTAGATCTCGGATGCAGCCAGATTTTTGCGGCTTGAGGTAACAATTACGTTTATCTTTTGTAGTATTAGTATCAGGATCTTGTTTTATTACAGGGTCCAACTTATTTTCTAGGCCATCTCCGCTGCCTTTCGGCCCTTCATTTTCAAGCTCAAGAAGGCCCGATTCTGATGCAACTTTATTAAGAACATCACTAACGGAATCAAAATAATGGTCACCTTTCAATAGTCTCCTCCTTGAAAACTTCTTAACACCAGGTACAAGGAACACCAGCGAATTCTTTAAACCAGAAAAAGCCTGATCTTTTGGCTGTTCAGAGTGCCAACCCCTAGCTAAAAGTCGAGGCCAAACAGCTTCCCAGAAAAGATCATTAGATCTAGCTTTGCTCAACCTAAAATCTCCAGTTAGGAACTTGATAATCTCTACTGATGTAAGACTAGAACAAGCTTTGCCAACTGGTATTTCGGGACGAAAAGAAACTACATGATTCACTTTTACTGGCTCCATAGCATTGCCAGTGAGGTCTAGCTTTCCTTTGCCAATACTTACGGCTTTTATGAGCATACCGATGCCTACTGTGTTCCTTATAGCGAATACATATTCCTCGAAGGTAACTTTTCCCTCACCAAATTTCTTAGAAACCTACAACAATTGGAATTCATAAAACATCATGG